TTCCAGAAAATTGTTTACTGCGAGAGTAAAAAACGCACTTCTAAAGGATAGAAATTTGAAGGTGAACGGCATATTGTCTTGTAAATTCGAGACAATGAAAGCTGGTTAGATTGTCGAAGAACTAAAGTTCTTGAACACTAAGAACGAAGTTGTTCTACCGTCCACCGATATCAGCGACTGGTTCAACACAAATGTGAAGGAAAAGTTACTAGCCAAGGTTGAAGACTTTCAAGAAAGGGAATCTGGTTGGTCATTGGTAGAAATTATAAACTTGGCGGTAAACATCAACAGATACATTCCGATACACGGTGGCCTATCTACTTTCATCGAATTACCGAAGGAGGTGCAAAGTAAGAAAGCAGTCGTAAACATTAGAAACAACGATCCGTACTGTTTCCTCTGGTCCGTCACCGCAGCTCTTCATCCAGTTAAAAATAATGTAAGCGTTATCGGTTCGTACCCCCACTTCAGCTAAGTGCTAAGGTATGAAGGTTTAAATTTTCCGATTGGCTTAAAGGACATTTCGAAATTCGAGAAGATGAATGATTTGGTAATTAACGTTTACGGTATAGAGTATGATAGTGGTCATGAGATAGTACCAATTTATCTAAGTCAGCAAAAGTCAAACAAGGAAGCGATTCATTTACTCATGTTAGAAACAAAAATTTATTCGAATGGAGATGACGTGGACATGGAAGACGGTAGTGTTTATCACTTTGCTTGGATTCGAAATCTATCCCGTTTACTGAAATCACAAATTACAAAACGTAAAGGTTATACTAAACTCTGTGATCGATGTCTATGCCACTTTACAACAGTAAACTCTTTCGAAAAACATAGACTCGATTGTGCAAATATAAATAAATGCAGAGTCATATTACCGGATGAAAAAGATAAAATTATGAAATTTAAAAATTATAAGTATAAAGAACCTGTTCCGTTTGCCGTTTATGCGGACATCGAATGTATTTTAGAGCCAATTGCGGATAAGTCTAATTCGTTAAACACAACTCTCTATCAAAGACAACTCTTTCGAAAGA